AAGCAACACTTTCTTCTTCACGGCATTAAGGACTGTCTTCATTTTCTGGAATGAATGTTTCATCATAAGAAAACTCGAAGGGCCCTTGGTCCGGCCTCACTATGGGTCACAGGCTGACAGTTCAGCTCAAGTCCTCTCTGCCATTCTCATGGGGCGGGGCTCAGGAGGCCCTTCAGTCCCCTATCTTCCCAGCCCTGAGCACTCCGACTGACCCACATATCCCCAGCTGCCCCAGCACTCTACAGTGGGGCCGAGAGTGACTCTTCCTGCCCTGTGAAGCAGGGAAGCTTCTGTAAGCAAGGTTGTCCTCCTTGGCCTCTCTGCCATTTCTAAACCACTTACAGAAGGATGGCGTCCCGTAGACCCCTCGAGCTGGACTGCAGGACACAGGTGCGGGTAGGGTGTGCAGCTGTGCAGAAGTTGCTGAGAAGGGAGAAGTATATACCCCTAAATGGCAGCTGGTACCAGGGAGGGCCAATAACCGCCATTATCAACCCCCTGCGGGGCTGCCTCCCTGGTCAGTGCCCACTGGGTCTGAGCTCAGCTCTCCAGGTTTCCCACCCCTAAGGGCAGTGTCTGGAGGCCCAGTGGGCTCTGTCACCCAGCTTGCCTTGGTTCACCAATCCCTTCCAGTCTAGGCTATGCCTGGCTCACCAGGACAGCCTGCATCTCGCCGAGGACGCTCCCTGCAGAGGGTTAGAGAAGCTTAATGGAGACACGCTCTGTGCTCTGTTGGCGCTGACCTGCCTGGCATTTGTACCATCTGAGGGACACACAGTGCATCTGTGACCACTGACCTTGCCCTAGGGCATAAAACGGTGCCTGTCTTTGCATCTAGGTGGAAGAAGTATTCAAGGCCTCACCTTTCCTCGTTGGAGATGACTGTGTTTCCATCATGAACGGAACAGATGAAGGTAGGGTCTCTGAAAGCCCTTCTCTCAGAGCTTGTGCAGTGCTGCTATTCAGACATCCATGAGGGAGGATCTTCTTGGTGGGGGAGTAACCAAGGAGTCTGCGGGCCACTGTCCAAGGTTCTCATCTGACCGACTTTGACCTTAGCGTATATGAACATTTGGAAGGCCAGCTGGTGGGATGGTGGTGAAAGTGGCTGGATCCCATATGGACAACTGCCTGGTTCAAATCTCAGACCTGGCAGCTTACAAACATGCCAGGTGCATGTGCTTGCATGTTCCAAGAGGAAAATAGAAGAGATTGTGGGGTGGCCATTCCCTCAGGGGTGCTTTTCTCACTTTCTCTTTCTCTGGCGAGTCCATATGCTCTATAGCATATTTTAAAACCTGGTTCAAATCTCAGACCTGGCAGCTTACAAACATGCCAGGTGCATGTGCTTGCATGTTCCAAGAGGAAAATAGAAGAGATTGTGGGGTGGCCATTCCCTCAGGGGTGCTTTTCTCACTTTTTCTCTGGCGAGTCCATATGCTCTATAGCAAATTTTAAAATATTTTTTAAAAAATGTTTGGAGAGAATTGCAGTTACTGCCATGTTTAGAGTGTGGCTATTGTATTGCTAATTCTTTTTTTTTTTTTTTTTTTTTTTTAGGGGGGCGCAC